TGGAAGAGCTTCGGAAGAGAGTCTCAAGCTAAAAGTATTCGAAACCCTAGACGTTGTAAACTGAAGACGCCTCGTGCCCCAGCAGTAGATGAAACCAAGTCACGGTAGACTCAGAACCAAAGTTAAAGGGTTTGCACAAAGGTGTGGGGATTTTCTTCACCAGTTCTGTCCCTTGCTTGAACAAAATGAATGCAACATTGTGTTCGCAAAGTATCAAAGAAAATGTTACAGTTTTAACTTTTACTGTCTGCCAGTGTCTAAGTCTGCAAAAAAAAAAAAAAAATATGGCTCAACATCAATTTCAGCTATGCTAATGCACTGCCTTCGAAATGACCTAAATTTTATCTGAAACTGCCTCTTTGCCTTGTTCTTTCCTAAAATGTGTGTTATGTGCGATGTGTGCTCTAGATTTTCTCTAAAGAGAAGAAACAGAGGACACTAAGAAATGGTAACTGGGAATTCTGTGTATTCTTCTTGGGCCTACTTGGTCTTTGTTTTTCCCAATTTTCCTTAAACTCCCAAGTAGGCAAAAAGAAGACTGGACTTTCACTGATATTCAGAGCACTTTGCTAATTTACATGGGATAGTTTGAAACTGCATTTTTCTTTTTTTCTCTCTCTCTTTTTTTACTTTAAAAGCAAACAGTGGTTTTGAGAAACATGCGACATAGTTCTCATTGGCTTATACAAATATTCGAACAATAATATAGAATGCTATCATTGACCATCTATCACCCTCTATCACTCCTCTCATAGTTGATTTCTGAATTTGAGAGCACAAGTTTGTCTGTTGAAGTTACATAGGGCAGAAAGAGAAATCCATTTGATAATGAAGTTAATGTGTCATATTGAGGGACTCTTGTATGAATCCTAAAATCTACCTTTAAGTCCACTCCACATAAACACAATTCACTAAATAAATCATTTTCATATTGATCTAACATTTTTTATGAAGAGGCTCTCAATGTGTAAGTATTTAAGTTATACTTGGCATGCATAAAATACTAGAGAGCTGGAAAGGTTTCTCCAAACAGCAATTGCAATATTAAGCAGAATTGGATACACAGCCAATTTTTGTGGCTCTAAAGAGAAATGCAAAGAAATGTTGAACTTCATTTCCTTACTTTCTCTATTTTTCATTGTTGATGGATCCTAATATTAAAACAGTACATTTTCAAAATATATTATATACCAAAAACGAGTATAATAACTGACATTGGAGAAACAGGTCATGATGTACTAGAGAAAACTTTTGGATGCACTGTGATTTTTTTCCCTGCGCTGAAACTCTAATAACATTCTGGTAGCATTTTGTTTTTCTGGGCTACTCTTCAGAGTCGTTCAATGAAGAACCGTCAAGCACAGAGAGCTGAAATTTGGTTGTATTTTAAATGGTTACGTCGGTGCTAAGTTATTGCTATCCTTAAATATTTCTGGCTAATTCACATTACATCTGACCTGTATGGAGTGTTTACAGTGGGAAATGTAAGAAGAAACACAATACTACAATTTTAAATTATAATGCATATATTTAAGCTGTTATCTCTCAGGGTAAAACTTGACAGTTTCAGTGTTTTTAAAGAGAAATTAAATGAAGAATACAAAAATCTTTCAGTACATTTTGGCTTCAGTAAGAATGAATGAACACAGGAAATATGATAACATTTTAAAGTTCATTATTTAATAAATGGTGTATCCTCAGTTATTAAAAACTTTTAAATACTTTAGGATCTATGATGCTATTTGTGAACAGATGTGTAGTTATACTCCTCAAAGACATGAACAGATACCATCATTCAAATGTGCATCTATATGTAATATTTCTAATGTCAAAAATTTTAAATGAGATGAAGTTAATAAATTCATACATTACTTCTAAACAAAAGCAAATATCTAAATATTCTGTTAGATCCTTTAAGTTTCTTAGAAATTGTTTTATCATAATCTTATGGATTATTGAAAATTAGGACAATTTTCATATATACTATACAGAGGTTTATTTTTTAATCACAGATCAATTTTAGTGTCTACCCTTAAAAATACCCTGATATTATACAATATTTGACCATCTGTTTAAATACAGACTTATGTACATGCCACACACATGTTGCTGTTAGCTCTATGTTCAAATCTTAACATGTAAAGCTATTTTCTATACTTTTAGTGTTTTCACTATGGATGCTCTTGGAAGACAGAAATTTTCCTTCTTTAGCTAATAAAAATAAGACAGTGGAATTAAATGTAGTTGAAATGCTGAATTAAAAAAAAAAATCAGTGCAAGGATGCCTTGCTCATTTTCTGCAGAATGGATACCATCTCCATAGAGTTCGTTCTTGACCTTACCTGAGTAAGTACTTTAACTTAAAGTATGAGATGCACCTAGAGGGGTAATACATTGAGCTTAATAGGAAGACAGTTAATAACCTTTTTTCATCCTCGTGCACTATCAATCATGGCTGTCACCAGTCTGCTGAATCAAAGCAAAAGTGTTCTTCACAGATGACTGATTAGAAACGCAAAATCACAAGATCCATCTTCATGGTCACTTTTATTATAGTCATTTTTAAACTGACAGCAACCTGCTCAGTTTCAGCACACTGGGCATCACAAATAGTGTCACTCAGTGCAGCTAAGCATGAGAAGAGGTTGGTTGGATTATACTTAAAAATAATTAGGCCCTCAGCCCTTTGTGGAACCAAGAAAAAGGTGTTCCTCTTTCCATGCCCCCATTCCCTCCTCCCATAACTTGCTTTGATTCTATTGCATCATTAGCTTACCATCTTGAAGGGAGGCAATGCGAGATACAGTTTTATCCTTGTTCATTATCTAGGAATTAGGGAATGAATATGTCCACTTGAGAGTTACAGATAACTTTTTGTCTACTGCTTTTTGTCAACATCATGACAAATAACATTGCTACCCTTATAGTTAAGTTAAATAAGACTCTTTTTACGTAGAAATAGGTTTGTGGACTAAAGACTTCAGGAAATCTAGGTAGCTAGGTATTAGTAAATGATTCTTCATATAAGGACTCTTCTCAGTTGAAGGCATTTAACAGCATCACCTGAATGCTGTAACATTGGAATTACTGAGGTTATAACTCTCCAAATGCATAACGTTAAAGGTGGTCAAGATATTAACTATTAAGTAGCGATATAAATTCCTGATGTGCAACCCTGTATTATCTCCTTTTCATCTCTACAGTATTGAAAAATGACAAATTTGAAAAACCAACAAGTAGATGTACATAAAAATCTTTCAACTAGAGGATTTGAAACAGTTCTGTCTGAATCAAAGGGTAAGGAACTTTGTCTTTACTAAAAGTCTTAATTTTTATGCTACAAAGATGGCCCCTTCAGATCTATTTCATGGCATTTTCATACATGCTTTTAGAATATTTTATGACACTATAGGGTACTAATGATACAAATATTTACATGAGAAAAATTTTTAATAGAACAATTTCAAAATAATATTGTGATTCTTGTGCCCATTTTATAGGGTTCTTATTTCATATTCAGAAAGGAAATTTCAATTGGAGTTAAATTTTAATTTAGGAAATTTAACTTAAGTGCCCTATTTTAAATGTGTGTAGAGTCAACATTTTCTTTCATCCCAAATGTTCATTTTCTTGTTAATAGCAGAACACACACACATACATAGAAAGAGGAAAAGGAGAGAGAAAAATTTTCAACAATGTTTCTTTATATAACATAATACCTTCATATTCATTTCCAAACATGGTAATATCCTACTTTTAATATCTCTTTGTGAAGCTACCAGTTTTTTTCCTCTTTCCCTCTCTCTCTCTCTCTCTCTCTCTCCACACACACACACACACACACACACACACACATCTGTATTGCTTTATTTTAGATTATGAGAATGCTTTTCTCTGCACAAAATCATAGACAAGATATACATAATGATATATTTGCATTTATACAGGTTATATAATTATACATATATAATGGCATGTCTGTATTATCCACAAATATAGATACATAAATACACTCTTTATGTATAATAAGGCTAATATTAATTTCCTTAAATATTATACTTTATATATTTCTAGAGATACATGTACTTAAAATAAAGAAGTTATGAAATATCAGAGTTAACTATCCAGTTTGATTTTATAGTTTTAGCTAAATTAGATTGTCTTAGATTTGGATAGATGTATGCATGAGTTGATATTTTAAAATATTTCCACCATATAAAAATTGATAGTGACAATACTCATTGATACATTGTTCAATATGCAAAATTTGGATTAAATGAAACGTTTATTTATAATCTTTAAAAACTATATAATTATATAGATGACAATGTAAATCACCTTAACGGGTTCACATTCAGTTTACTTTAACAATAAAAGCATAATTTCTCCTGACACAGTGTGCATATACATGCACACATGGGGGAGGGGTCTTTAGTTTGGATAAGTTCATACTTTAAAAAATGATAGTGTCCCATAGAATTCAATATTATTGCTTTTAAATTTGATTTTTAATGTAAAAGATTCTTTCTGCCAGAATATTTAAGGAAGAGAGATTTATTTGAAATATCTGGACTCAGTGTGGCACTTTTTGCTACTAAAACTAATTCAATGAGATGATATGCGTGATATTTGGCATCATCTTGGTAAATCTATGCACACAGTCACAATGGATCTTGAATATGAATTTTTAATGTGCATCATAAATATGAGCACTTATAAGGCTTATAAAAATTGTAGATCTAGAATCATGTTTTCCTCTATAGATGGGTCTTAATAAACTGGAAAACAATTTTTCCTTTATGTTTTAGA